CCCACCGTCACATTCATCTCAGTTTATGTAAACTTCTGAAAATGAAGGAAGAGATAATAAATGTAAAAATAAATAAATAAATAAAATCTCATTATTCTCGCATCTAGCACACATTAATAACTGATTAACTGAGTTTAGTCTGATTTAATGTCAGAAGACGATATTAAAGGTATGGATTAAAATGCTGTTTGATTTTCATTACGCATTAACAAGCGCACTGTCTCTTTAAGAGTCGGCCTGTTAGAGTCTCGCCCGACTCGAGGCTTAAGGCTGAACAGAAAGTTCAGCTGAATTCAAAGGCCGGTCCAGGTAATGGCCGTACCCTGGAGGCAGAGCGCTTCATCGCCCGCCAATTAAGCAGAGCCAAAAATCTAACATGAAACATGGGTATTGATTATTTGGGAAGGCGAGTCGATAACCGGTTGTGTCAGACATGTAGGTTCAGTAAGATTAAAGGTGCCGCAGAGCCACTCGCAGCCTCAGAACTGCTTTCAGAGCTCGCCGGCTTCATCCGCTCTCCGTCTCCCCCCGCAAGTCACTTTTTTTCCGCATTACCGCGGGTAAACAAAGGCGGCACAGGCAGTAAATGACAAGATTTGTTGTGTTTGCCTTTGATATGAGTGATAATATTTAGAGAAGGAAACCAGTGAACTAGGTGCGCGTGTCTGGGAGAAGGGTGTGTTTGAGGAGAGATTTAATTTTTAATTGCGTTTCTCAGTGCGACTGCAGATTGAGCCTCGGTCAGGAGCAGAAGCACCGCATCAGCAGAACCCCCAAAAAATAAAATAAAATAAATAAAGCTGGAAAGTTTTCCAACTGGCAGCAAATTTCCATCTAAAACTAATTTAAAAACAACGTTTAAGACAGAAACCGACGTGTGGTAAGAGTCTTGGATCCATTTCTTGACTCGTAAAGTTACATGGACACCATGTTCTCTTGTGTTTCCTGTTTTGAAGAGTGGCGCTGTGTATGGTAACATTTATACCACCATAAAACATTATAGGATCAATTAAAATGGACACTTTCAAGACATGCTTGATGCAAAACCAGAGGTGGGAAGAGAACCCAAATATTGTACTCAAGAAAAAGTAGCAACACCTCAATATGTTTGAAATTACTCAAGAGTAAAAAAGTATTTGGTCAAAAGTTTACTCATGTACTGAGTAACTGATCAAATCATCAATCATTTAATATTTAAAAAATTACATCATCAGATGGACCAAAATGTAAAGTTAAGTGGAAACTTTGGTATTTTAAAGACCAAAATGACAATTATTCATATATGTAAAAATATATATATTTTTTCCTACATCATTTTCTTTCAATATAAAACTTACGATGCTACAACAAAACCTGGAGGTGTGTGTTTGTTCTGGTGATATTTTTGGTTAAAACATGTTTGTTTTTCATTCAGTGGGTGGAAAATCCAGAAATGTAACTTTTTGAGAGCAGAGACACTTCATGATAAAATTACTCACGTAAAGAAAAAGGTAAAACGTAATAAAAAATACCCCTAAATGTATATTTTTTCAAACAAAAAAGGTTACTCAAGGTAATGTAACTAGTTACTAACTCTGGTTAAAATTACATTTCGTCTTCCTTCCTGTGGGTCAGATCTTACTGAAAAAAAAAAGGAACTCAAAGACCATCGATTCAAATTTCCTAAAATCACTGATCAACTACTAAAAAGTAAATGACATAACCCTAAACTTCATCAGTTCCATTTATTTTAAAGAAACCACAGAGCACCAGCGATTTATTTTAAACGTGTTCTCAAATTAAAGGTTGGATTTTATTATTCTCCTGCCATAAAAAATGTAATTTATCTCAAGACGTTTGTCACATATTCGCCAAGCTTGCCAATAACCACAGAGGGAGCTTTACGTGGATCCCAAGGAACGGCTCCACATCGCAGCGCAGGCGGTAAAGAACTGATGGCGTTGAGATTTTAATCTCCTGTCATCAAATAAAATGCATCAATTATTTTTGATAGAACGGAAAACAACATTCTGACGCAGCTCCATTGAGTTCAGATCATGTTCTCTTTAGAGATCCTAACTCCGCTTGAGCTCTTACATGCTAAACATAATAGTTAGACGACTATGTAAAGCTGCATGATGCTGCAAAGTAAAATACATTCACATCCAGAAGATCTTTAGGCTTCATGTTTTCTCTTTATAGCCTTCTTTAATTAGTCACAAGGCCAAGTTTTTACCCTTCAGCCGACTATAGTTGGGTAACAAGTCAATATTTATGTGGGTTGGAAGCCATATGGGACACCGTAGAGTCTATCTGCTCTCATATTCAGACTTTTTGGTGGGTAAAACAAAAACGTGTGTGAAAAATCGTTGCTATGACGAAATTATCTCCCCGTTTAGGTTGGTAACTTCTGGGATAAACAAAGTTTCTACTAGGATACACTGAAAGTGGAGACCGGCTCCAACTCTGTTCAACATTGGTTGCTGATTTCCGATAAATTTCTACCGTGTAGCGCATCGAGATTTAGCAGGCGACGCTCTGCTCCCTCCCAAACGTCCCTTTGTGTGGAAACAGATGTGCGTGTTGACAGCGTGTGTTTACTCTGTACACGCTGAATATATTATAGCCACCAACAAGTTGCAGTGGAAAAACAGTGCATTTTAATGAAGATCCATCTGTGTCAAAATGACTAAAATAGCCCAGTGTATTTTGCGCTGAATATAAATCACAACACAGCAGGTTTGGAGCGTTGCAGACTGACAATGACTATATAAAAAATTCAAGCAAAATAAGGTATTATTAGGTTACAGTAGGTGTTGCATTAAAGTTGCTTTGTATTCCGCAGGAATGAGTGTTGAACTGTGACTGACCTCCTGTGTGACATCCACTTCCACAATAAAAGATCCAGGAAGGCGGAGATGTGTTTGATCTAACAATGTTCAGGAGAAGTCCCTCCCTCAATGATGTGCCTGTTCAGCTTTTGTAGAGAAATGAGGTTCAACGTTTATGTTGAGTGTATTTTTAGGGTAAAAGCGGGGACGTCCAAGTCATTTCAATATTCGCCACATGAGTCAAAGTCACATTTTTACAGCACTGACTTCTACACCTTACGCCAAATAATAATATTAAGAGAGAACTTGGTGTCGCTACATAAGTTTAAAATGCTGAATATGACTGACCATCTTCCTGTTATTTGTTTCTCTGAAGCTGCTTTATACAGTTTAAGATAATTATAAACATTATTTAACAGCACTGGCTGCATATTCTTGAAGGACTGCAATATCTTCTCTCAAGAAGTGTCAATGCTACAAAAACTACCAACTTTTTATTGTGAAGTTAGCGACTGACCAACCAAGTAGAGCAGTCCACGTTTCCATTTCTTGTGTAATTTTTATGATTTTGTTTTGAAAATGCCTTGGAAAGCTTTTACTAGTAAGAATCTCAATGCTAGCTTCAATAGCTAACATAAGATCCAGGAAGCAGCTGGATCTTATGCTAGCTCTAAGTTTCAGTGACACTGGGCAAACTTATGAACTTCAAACTTTTATTTGTAAAGCTAATACTAGCTGCAGGAGAAAGCATTCGGCAAATCTTGTTTTTCCAGCCTCTGCTGTGATGTGTTGGCTACGTCTTGTCAAGAAAGCCCTGCATACATACTGTTGATGTCTTCAACAAAATTGGTTTCAAAAATGTGGTCAACAACAGATGAAACCTTCCAGACTTAAAGACAAAGTGACCTGTTAGGTCTTACTGACTCATGGTTATTGAAATGGTGCGACGTGGTGTTCCATGTTTTATGCTATACCAGAGTTAGCTAGAAGAACTGCCTGTATTCGTCCATGTAGCTTTGTAGCTAACCCCTCCAAGAAAAACCATGAACTACTAAGTTTTCCTTTCTGTACATTCATGTAGCAGTTTGACTCTTTCATAATTGCTTTTTATGGCAACTGGCCGTCATTTGGTTGTTTTTTGTCTCGTGGTGTACCTGCGACAAGTGCAGGACATTCCTACTATTTCATTTTTATTTGCTGTAGCTCTGGCAGAGAAATATTCTTTCCCCAGGCAGTTCTTTGAGGTTAATGTTTGTTACCAGTTTTATTCAGTCGACAGAGAGAGAATAAAAAAACTTTGATTATTCTGAATAAAAAAATAAAAAAATAAATTTTAAAAATGAGGGAAAATAAACATAAAAATCCTCCAAGAAATAATTTAACAATCCTCTCACATGTCACATCCAAAGGAAGCTTTGCATTTTCTGCCTGGAGCACAATCAGAGTCGGCACAAATGTCTTTTATCTCAAAATTTCTCTGTCAGAAACTTTACATCCACTCCCCCACATGAAGTTCACGTCTCCCGTTTCTCTGCCTGCAGGTTCGTCAGGGAAACTTTGGTTTGACAAAAACAATGAAAAATTGGTGACATTTTGGAGGAAAACGACGGCTTCGTGGGGCATGCTTTGTCAAATGGCTGGAGGAAATATAGACGCCAAGACTATAATGGATGTGCTGGACCTGAAAATGACCTGCGTTTCTCCTTTAAGAGAAATGTTGGTGTTGGACGTCATCGTCCTGCTGCGTGTTGGCATGGAGGGGATCGCAGGCAGCCTGTCAAGCAGTCAATATTGACTCAGCTGTTGTGTTGATTGCGAGCGGCGCGCCTGTGCCTGAGTTACCGAGCAGCATGCATCCTGCCATGCTGTTGCATCTTTTTTTTCCAGTTCGAGGCCGTAACGGGCACCCGCCGATCCCACCTTGGTAATGCAGCCACGGGACGTGGCGGGAGGGGGGGAAATGCAAGGTTTCGGCTAACGGCGTAGGCATCTACATCAACAGTCGTGTCGCGCGTGTGCAGCACATTCCTCCAGCCAAAGCTCGGGAATCAAACAGAGAAGGTAAACATCGGAGAAAGACACCAGAAGGAGACAGAGCTGAGGGAGGGTCGGGGGGGAGTGGGGGAGGAAAGCAGGGGAGGAGAACAGTCGGGGCGTTTCGGACATACGGAGAGTCGTGGTTCTACTTACATTTGCAGCCATTTTCCCACAAATAGCCGGGGAGGCACTCCTGACACTTGGGGCCCGTAGTGCCCTCCTTACATGTACAATATCCTGTGCCATTACAGTGATCACTGACTGAGCCAGAGGGATTACAATTACACTCTGAAAAAACAAGACACACACACACACACACACACACATAGGCTGGAGAAACAGGGTGGTGCTTTGACTTCCCGTCTAGGATTCTCACAGCTTCTCGAGTTCTGTCAGAGGCATCGGTAAATTAGAATATCGTAGGAAAATACTTTAAAAAACAGATTTATTACACACAGAGGGATAAAGTTCAAGCGTTTATTTCTGTTAAATGTGATTACCCTGACTCACAGCTAAGAGAAATCATGAGTCAACACAGGAATGCTGCCGCTTACTCCACCGTTGCCCAGCAGACATTCGTCAAGGAGGGTAGGGGTCGCTAAATGTTATTCTAAAAAAGGTTGTTGCTCACAAACTGAGTGAAGGGAAGTTAATGGAGAGCTACGTGTGGCACCTAGTGAACAAGCAACAGGGACAGATGACCACAATCTTGACAGAATTTTGAAGCAGAATCCTTCAAGAGTTTTGGGGAGATTCATAAGATTTGAACTGCAGCTTGAGTCAGAACTTCAAGAGCAACCACACAAAAACACACAAGGACTAAAACTGCTTCATACCTGAAGCAGAGAAACAGAAGCATCTTGTAAACATTTACAAAAGTACTCTCTTTAAAATATTTGCTAAAACTTCCACGATGGTATTAAATATGCGTATTTTATATTCTCGTACTGGCATCTGGAGAAATACGCCTCTACTCAGTGAAAAACAACCAATCAGAGCCAGGAGGAGGGTCCTAGTGTTGTCAATCAAGCTTGTATATGCGCGATTCAAGGTGCTAATGGCGGAGAAACAACTTACCAGTCCAGGAAAACTGTTTATCCGATATCATCAGTGGCCAAACTAGCTAGTGTTAGCATTTGTGACAGACTCCGCTGTGGGGAGCTAGCTATAGCGTAGCAGGAAGCAAGGTGGAGGGAGTGAGCAGCACATAACGGAGTGTGATTGAGAAGGCAGGGATTTTTCAAAGATCATCTGTCTCATACCATCACCCCATAGTGAAAATGCTTAATAAATATGTAAAATGCTTATTGTTTTTATAAAATTTACATATTTCAGGAACAAAATATAATATTTTCATAAGTATGATCATCTTAATTGGCATTTTAATTGTTGGGAGGAAGAGTGGAAATGCTTTTCAAGCTTCTTGAGATCCAGTAACAAAATGTTCACATTTTGCAATCATTTTGGGAGCAACGTCATCTGCATGTTTGTTGGCTGTGCTTTAAGTCCAAAGGTAGCACAGCCATCTCACACGAAACTATAGAAAAATTCAGGTAAACTGAACGTTGCATATTCACTACCTACTAATCAGAGTCATCAAAATGACCAGAAACACAAGCATATCCCTTTGTGTGTAATCAGTCTATGAAACACATGAATTTTCCTTTTTTTTTAATCGAAATATTAAATAAATAAATGCCATTTTCCGTGATATTCTAATCCATGGAAACAAACCTGCACTTCTAGTAGAAAAAGTCTGACTAGAGTTCAAGAATTTACACAGTGGAAAATGCTACCATTTCAACGGTAATGAGGACAGAGAAAATGAGCAAAGAATGAAGTAGAATTCAAATGCATGAACACCTTAAACACATTACAACATATCTGTGCTGAATTTGTCATTAAAACGAGAACCGAGCATGCAATGAGCTTTTGTGCAAAGCAATTATCAGTAGATCTGATTTCAGATGAACTGAGGAAAGCCTAGGTGAGCATGCGTCTGTAAAAGTCAGAATCATTCACACAGAGATAAAGATGAACAGATAGAAGATGGACAGCAGCGTGGAACGAATGGAGGATTAAAAATGAGAGAACTGTACATTGAAATGGGCATTTTTGTTATAAATTCCTTCATTCTAACTATAATCTGGAAATGCTTCGAAATGCGTACGTCTTTCCTTGCTGAAACTGATGGAGACGGGTGGTCTTAACCAAAGCTGTGACGTGAAAAGAAAGCAAATAACCTCTTGCGTCTCCGGTGACCTACGCTTAATTGACCTTTCCACAGAAACCAGAACACTCTGCAGTCAAAGTGACAGCTATTTTGACAGTCCCTGACGAAAACATTGCACCTTAATGTGGTGGCGTTGCACGTGGCTTCACCTGAGTGACACCCAGGGGTCAGGCGAGAGGAGAGAGGTGGCAGCATGTGACAAACTGGCGGGTCAGAGAAAGAGAGTCAGGGTGACGGCGAGCTCGGCACTCGGTAACGCCTCTGTGACTCTTAATACCAAGTGACGGGTTTCAGCTGCTCCTCCCGAGGCCATTTCATGTATATGACATATGCACTTGCCTGGCATCTTTGACTGCCTGTGTGACTTCGCTGGAAAAAAAAAATTCTCTCAGAACTCATGTTACCTGTCAGACTTCCCCCTCAGGATGTACAAATGCACCTGACACTCGGAGCTGTGAATTCACACTGCCGATACTTGGAAAATATTTCAGTGGGGAGCCAAGCTATTACCTCGGGAGTTACATGAGTTGTGGTACACAGAGCAAACGTAGATGTGGTTTAGGAATCTTTGTATATGAAATACAACGAATATAGAAGAACGAGGTGGTAACGGCTCATTTTTTATGTTGTGTACTGCCAAAATGTGGGAATTAAATAGCAGGCAAGTAAAGTCCAGAGAGAGTTTTTTTTTTGTCATACAGTTTGCTTATCTGCTGCTTTGGCAAAGGATAAGCCTAGCTTAAAATTAGCATACCTGCTAATAAATGCTGTTGACACTTTAGGAAATATCAAATAGTTAGCATTACTTGAATCGTCAAATTAGTTTTGTCTTTGTTGACTTTTTGAACAAAAAATTTCTAGAAATTGAAATGATTAAAATAGTTTTAATTAACTAGTCTATGTATCCCAATAGGCTAACAATTTTGTCAACTTCAACCCTTGTCCAGCTTTTTACGCCACCTTGCTGTTGAATCGCACAATTAATGACAATACATAAATAAATTGGAAATCTAGAAATGGTCAAGACAAAGAATTGGCAAACATTTAGCTAAATGTGTATACATTTCAAATGTAGCCGTTTCGCTAGGTACCTACTGTCTAGCTAGTTACTACATTAACTAGTCTTTGTATCCCATTAGGCTACCACACTAATTTTTATCATATTCAATCCTTGTTCGGCTAGCTTAGGTTTTTATTACCTCCAGCTGTTGAATGACACCATTAATGAACATTTTAAAAATTATATTTTGGAAATTGAGAGATGATCAAGACACTTGGCAAACATTCAGCAAAATGTTTGTACATTTTAAATGTAGCTGTTTCCTCTAGAAAGCCACAGTCTACAGCTTTCATACTTGTTAGAAAAATAAAATTTTCAGAATTTTATTTTTGATATGCTCTTTCTATATAAAAATCCCAAGTATGCTAAAATCTCTGCTTAGTTTACTATTTCACACTCTTTGATTACGAGCTAACATTTCTAACATAACTGCATCAGACTAGCTAGGAACATCAAAATTTAAACAGCCAACAACATCAATCTTGCCATTACATCTTTAGCCATAAAAGACGCTAAAACTACGTCAACATGATTACCGTAGCTGCACTGTTGTGCCAAAAAGAGTGGAGAAAAGGAAAAGGAAAAGGAAAGAGGGAGACTCTGGGACATGAGGACAGGACAATGCACTTGGATGACGCACTGGTGTTAGCATGAAGTGACACTACCTTTTTGGAGTCAAAGACAGGAAGTGAGGTGAAAAAGGTGTGAAGCGTGATGGCAGTGAAGAGGGCCAGGTGGGGGACTAACCTATGCACACATTTTCATCGTCCAGTTCTGCTGAGGCATTGCGGTAGTAGCCCAGCTTGCACAGCTGGCAGTGCTGGCCCCTAGTGTTGTGCTTGCAGCTCACGCAAATGACGGTGTTTAGCACCTCGAGGTAGCTACATCGGTTGGAGTGGCCGAAGCATTCGCAGTCTTGCAAGAAGAGAGGAAGTGTGGAGGGAAGAGACGGGTAAAAGAGGGTTGAGATGTTCGTGCTGCGAGTGCTACAGCGGAAGGGTAAGCATAGGCCTGAGCGAGAGGCGCCATGGCATGCGAGATGGAAATGCTGATGCTGCATGTCGGAGGTGATGTGATGTTGGTAGATCATTGTCAGTCTGGCAAAGGTACAGCCAGAGTTAGAAACACACAAAATCACAAAAAATAAATAAATAAAAAATTGCATTGTTAGTAGGATTTGAGAGGTCACGTTACTTCAAGCACATCACAGCACAAGGCGACAAAGATGGTACAGAGACGTGATAACAACTCAACATCACAAAGCATAAGGCAGGTCAAACCATGAATGAAGTGGGCATTCAACTTCAAGTGGGTGGTAGGACATGATTTTTATTTTTATTTTTTGCTTTCCTTGATTGGATTCTTAATAAATTTGTTAGCTCAAAGTGGAGATGTTCACGAGTTTTCCAAGTCAAGAATCAAGTCTATCACATCAAGTATCTAGTCTCTAATAACTCAAATCAGACACATGCATAGTGTACCTAACCCACCAAAACTTAGCTGGTTATTAATTAAGATTGTTAACAAAGTGTATAATTTTTCATTTATATTGGGTACACAGGCTATTTTTTTAACCTTGGCAAACCTTGTTCTTAATCAGCTTTTAAACTTTTATTTTTTAGGTGTAAACTCTAAACCAGGCATTAAATAAGGAGCTAGGCGTAATGTGAAGAGTGAATGAAAAGGAGCATTGACATTTTAGACTAAACAGAAGTGTCTTTATAGTGATGATAGCTTTATTTTGTTAGGCTAACATCATTAGCATAATGATGTTAGCTAATAAATTTACAGATAAATTTAGTTTGTTCTGAAACTAAAGAAACTTATTCAGGACAGAGGTGAGTTTAAAATACACCCATATATGTTTGTTGATGCAACAACAAACATGAATAGACTGGCGGACCATTTGTAGCTCACAGTCTACACTGTAAAACAACAACAACAAAACAAGTCTCTAATTTACAGTAAAATTTCCATCAGGTTAAATCCCCTATCAGAATTTCACCGGAATTATTCGGTAAAATTTGGGCAACCATAGCTGCCAATATTTTATCGGAAATATTTTTTTTCTTCTTTTTTTTACAGTGCATGAATGTTCCTGGTTGAACACAAATGTATCAAATGCAGTCCAAGAGTATGCACAGTTCTGTTTGAGCTTAAACATATTGGACAATAAAAGTCGATAAGGTACAGAACCAACCGAATTCCTGAGTCTTTGAAGCACAAATCTAAGTCTAAATTTGTTGGGTTTTTTTTTTTGCAATTTAATTGCAACTCCAGTCAGACACTTTTAATACCACCCAACACCTGTGAAATGATTGATATATTTAACTAAAACAACCTTAATTCACAAAGCAAGTTGAGAATAATCAAAACCTAAAATCATGTCTAAGAGGAAGTATGAGCTTGAAGCTGATTTGCAGAACGGCTACAGTCTTTGTAGCTTCATGGTGGTGCTACATAAGGCATAGCAGTTGGTCGGAGAGCATTCCTATCGCTAAACGCTCTCCAAGTGAGGTTCAGTCTGTCACACTGAGTGACCGCTGACACATTATGTGGCACAGCTCAGACAGATGTGACCCTTAAGCCTTGTTGGCAGCAGAGTACACTGACAGCCTCGTCAAGGTTCCAGAACAGGGAAGGTTAGCAGATGGAGCTTTCTTCCAAGGGATTGCTGTTATTAAGGATCTGTATTGAGGTCAGTTCTCTCAGTTCGACCGACACCAACCTGACTGGGCTTGAAAAAAAAAAAAACACACACAAAAGGAGCAGAAATTCGAGTTGCGCTCTACCTCCCGTCTGAGTCAGCCGGTCCTAGCTGAACGTGAGCTAAAACCCTTCCACGTTACATGCCTCACTCCTTCAGACATAGTCCCACAAGACTAATATTCTCCCTTCGCTAGAAATAGGCTGAGGTCATAAATCATGCATGCATTGGGGGGGAGGGGATTGGCGAGGGGGAAAGGAACGTTCCCCAAAAATAGTCGTAGCAGAAGAAATGACTCCTTTCATAGCGTTTAGAATCCGTTCTCTGTAAGAATGAGACTTTCATGTGCTGAAAGCCGTCAGTCCAGCTCTGAGCTGGAGGCTACAGACGATAAGATTTTGGAGCTCTCCGGCTCTGTGGCGCAAGGATCAAGGAGGTTACAAGTCAACAGAAACACACATGGCGGGGAGTGGGGAGGAGAAAGGCTGCGGTGTCATCTGGGGACGATGCACGAGATCCAGAGCTCCTACCTCGCTTGCTGTTTGCAGCGTGGACAGAAGGGGCAGTGGACAATGCAACCTGAGGAGCTACTGGACGGATTAAAAGAAGAAAACAAACAAATGAAAGAAAACATACTGCAATCAAATATAACACATGTAATGCCAGAGAGAAACTAAAATAATAATAAGAAAAAAAAAACAGGCATTTTGCCCAATGAAAGTGTAAAAGTAATGATAAGAAGAAGAAGAAAAAATAAGGGGGGCAACGTGTTCGACGATGACAAATGATGGCAATGACAAATAAGGAGCCGTGTGCCAGGTGGAGCTGGCTGAGTGCAGCAGCATCTGTTACGAGTGCCCTCCATCAAGAACAATAAAAATCTCATTGTTCCTTTTCAGTACTTCATTTCATTACTAATAACTTTGTGTTATTCACCACCCTGTGTGTGTTTCCCCCCCAGACAGAAAGTATCCATTCAAAAAGCTTTCTACTCAATACGGGGCAAAGAAACCAAAAATGCTCAGGTGCTAAATTTGTGCACAAGGAAACTAATCAGCCGTGATTTATGTTTACAAGTGGGGAAACTAACCAAAGGTAAAATAAATGTAACGTCCAACCTTCGCTTTTTGTACTTCATGACATACGGCCTCAACATATACGATTTTTGCATTGACTTATAGTCAGAAACAGATTGATGCCGTTGTGTTGAAAAGTGTTTTCCCTCTTACAAATTTCACATTTTTGCTTTTTTGTCACAGATAAATGTTTCAGATGACCAACAAAATTTAATATCTGGCCAATTTCACAGATAAAAACCTGCTTCCAACTTGGTGCTACGTAAAAAGAAAAGATATCTGGCACAATTCCTATCACACCAAACTGATTCCGGGTTGTGAACAATTTTAGGCTAAATTGTGAAACTTCTCTTGACAACATGAAGCAGGTTGAAAGGTTTTCAAGAGCAACACATCGACGCCAAGGTGAGAAACAATGGCACTGCCACCTATCAATCTGTGAAGGGCTACAATGTCACTTCTATGACTGCAGAACTCCAATGAATCACATTAAGAGCCGTCAACAAATAAAATCATAGAAGAGTTGCAACCCTTCCCGGGAGCGGCTGGCCCTCCTAAAACATTCCAGAAGCAAAAGAGAAAAGAAAACTTGACGGTTCTCTAGATATCATTTGCATCAGTGCAAATAATCCAAGAGTTTTTGTTTTCTTCAGAAGCTGGATGGGTTGTCTCTACCAGACAACCTTGACGGAGAATGTCTTGTCTTCAGTGCAGCAGAATAATCTAAACACAGGAGCGAGGTGTTTTGTTTTGTTTTTTTTTTGTTTTTGTTTTTTGGACAGCTTTTCTCCATTAACAAATCAAATTCAATTCAAACTATCTTTGTTGATAGACATTGTTTCACTGAAACATTTAAGTTTGACAAAAAAGTATAAAGCAAGCGGGTATTTTTTAAGACTCTTTACATGATGGCTTAAACAAAGATGAGGCTGTCATCTGCATATAACTTCACCAAAAACCCCTTCAGGTTTGTCAGCTGATTAAATGCTACTTTCTTGGAACCTCTTATCCTAATGTACACATATACAGTTCAAATATTGAAGGCTAGAGATAATAAAGCATCGTAGAGTACCTGGCTAAACTCTCCTTTAAACCTTTATAACAGCAAAATAAGCAGATAAATACTCTTTCTCTCGAACACAGGACTTTTGGCTACTGAGAGCCAGTTTTAGATATATATATATATATATATCATACAAAGACCTAAAATAAATGAATCTGTGGAAAAGGTAACTGGTGTCATAATCTTAAATGCCTACCTTCTTTTCGGTTAGCAACACCTAGAGATGAGACATTCGGCCGTACTGCGTGCAATTAGAAGAAATCAGGAATTATTCATGTGCCTTTTGCGTGATTCACTTAACAGATTTTCTACGGGGAGGGGAGGGTAGCGGGGGCTACGTGGTTGTTGACACAGACAACTGGAGACATGAAGATGTCCGGCATGACTCAAATCAGTAGGTTGGGGAATCTGCAAATACAAATGGGGGGGCAGGGCTGACATGGACGAGCAAGGAGAATGCATCCAAAGACCCTTTAAAAGGACATTGGAACAACGTTGTATGTAATTGGCGTGACTGTTGGGTGCGTGTCTGCAACAATGAGCACAGAACGAAAGAAACGAGAGATAAAGAACTCTCTTAAACGTAGCATTTCATACATGATTTATGTTGAGTATCTGATACTACGTATGGCAAATGAAGACTTTAGGGGGCATTTTGTTTAATTCATCACATTGACTTTGTAATCAATATCTAATTATGGCGTATTTCTGGTGGAGGAATAACAATGAATAAATAATGGCAGGTGCTGGCACTTGGAATGATGGACTGCTGTGGGTAGCATGACCTCATAATTACATACAAGTCAGTATTTCCGTGTCAGGGAAATACTTTGCGGTTGGAAATGGAGAGGACTCAGCCAAACGGGGAGGAATACGGATAACTTTTCCTCATTGTGCCCCTTTATCTCTTCACTTGATCTTTCTGTCCTTTTGCTATCGACTCCATGAATCATGCAATCTTTCCCAATTAGCATCCAGCCGTGTCCTGGCAAGGAGCCTATTTCCCTAACTATGCTTGCAAAAAGAATATGAGAGCTGTTCACGAGGCGCTCTTTCAATATTTTTTTTTTTTTTTTTACTGTGAGGTACACAGGGCCTTGCCAAAGCATCTGTATTTCTTTATTGCATTTTTGTCATGTTATAATTGCAAAAGTTTATGGATTTTATTGAGAATTGATTGGTTAACAAAAACATATTTGTAATATTGCAACTGGATTTTATTAAGTGGTATCAGATGATTAAATGAAACTTCTCACCACAAAAACAACCCCAAAAAATCCAGTAAAAAAATAATAAAAATAATATAATATATTGCGGTTTGCAGTCAGAACACGACAAAAACGTGAAAAAGTTCAAGGCCTACGAATGTTTTTGCAAGACCCCAAAACTTTAGCGCTGAGTTGGGTTTATCTGCACAGCGACAGCAACGTTTGAAGAACCTCATATTTACTAGTTATTGATTCTGAATCTGCTTCAGCAGAAGCTTATCAAGTGCAACGTTCTAATCCCTTTATATTTTAATTTTTTTTTTTTTTCTTAAAGAATATTTAAAAGCCGTGCTTACACGGAAAGCCCCGTATCACTGCCGACTGCGACATCTCCAGGGGTTTAAAGTCATGTAAGTTGCCGGATGAGAAGCTCTTTGAAATGACAGATTAACAAATAAAGAGCTTAAGAAGCAGGGCACGGCTCATCACCACTCAAACTCAGGTCTTATATCTTACGTGAAGTGCCCTGTTTTTTTTATTTTTTTCTCTCCCTCCCTTTCTTTCCACTATCTTTATTTTGCATCCATTGTCGCTCTGATGAGCAAAGCAGCTTCCAAAGAACCGCGAGGAACACAAATGACTGGACACGAACGCGCTGGCCGGATCTGTCAGATGTACGTTCAACAAATCGAGTCGATTTCATGTTTGCGATTGACTGGAAGCGACACACATCTGGGTTACCCCCGCCCCCACCCCCACCCCGTTAATTACTCGGCTACGGAGAATATGCAGGTAAGGCGAGTTAAATGAGTGGTGACGGATTTTAATCAATGCCATACTCGTAATGAAATGCAATCTAGCAGGGCCGGGATTGTTTTTAAAATATTAATTTCACTTTAATGGTCCGCATTAGGCAATTCTGCCCGGCTTAATAAACTTGAAATAGAATTGGAGAAAAGTCAATAAGGAATTCAATTACCTTCAACCAACAACACAGAAAAGCGCACGCTCCGCCTCGAGTCCTTTCAACAACCTCAAGGACGTCATAACCTTTTTTCCCCCCCCCCCCCCCCGCTGCTTTGCTAATAATGCAGACATAAACTTGATATTTGTTTGCGCTGAAAGCAGCGTCACCCTCTTCTTTCAGCGTGTTTTAGAAAACAAAGGCAGTCAGCATGTTCAGGTTTTACTGTTAGCATCGTTCTGTCGGAGAGGGAGGGGGCTGCTAGTGGTGAGAAGTCCTAATCCCTTCCCCTTTACCCCCTTGGAGGGGCAATCTTATGGATAAGAAGTGAAGACTTTGGGTTTGTCTAAATTCTACCTCACCATACCCTCCAAACACACACACGCACACACCCACACACACACACACACCTTTCAGGTTCGACACTCTCCATGTGAAGGATTTGAGGACAACCGTTGGACATGGTGTGGCCTGGCATTTTCGGATGAGATGGAGAAGCCGGATGATGTGCAGAGGCAAGCATGTACGAGGACCATGCAGACAGACACACACACACCGAGCTGTACTCCTGCCATGCACAGAGAAGAGGCATAACTTCTGCAGATGTGATGATGACGGGGGCAGGCAGTGGGAGATTGTTAGAAGCGGGAGGGAGTGTGTGTGTGTGTGGACCGGGGCTCGGCTGTGTGTCCATTTCTGACTCGTCTCAACAGCGTCGCACTTTAAAGCGGTGTTTTTTTTGGCCGGCGTAAGCCTGATTAAAACGCCACCTGGGGACAATCTGTTTCCATCTCAAGTCCCGGACAAACATGTTTTGAGAAACTTGTTTAAATGCGTTTCTTAACTTGGGAATAATGACAAAGAGGATGTGAACTGGAGGTTGTGAACTCTTTGTACACTTCACATTTAGTCGCACTGCTGGCAAAAAAAAAAAAGATGTTTTTTTTTTTTTTTTTTCCATTTCTGAGGAAAATCTCTATTCAAGGTTTCAAAGGGAAAAAAAGCAGATAATACTACTGTATTATCTGCTTTATGGTTTCTTTACCAATTGTGCCAATAGACATGAAGGACCCAGAATGACACTGACTGAATGTGTCACAGTAGATAGAGTTTAAACTATCATACCGTTTCTATGTGAGAGCTCAAAACTAAATTTCAGATTTATTTCAATTCAATTAAAAAAAAAATACTTTACTGACACCAAAGGGGAACGGAATAAATTAATTATGACCATCGATCAAAATCAAGAAGACGCATCTCTTTAATCGAGCCATTCGATGTTAGCGAGGGATCGGACGTGGGGGGGAGGCAATTTACTAATCAATCTGGGAACGGAGAACACCGGCTTAGACGCGGGGAATAAAGAAGATTAAGGAGACTTGAGCCCGGCTGTGCAGGATGCACTTTGGCCTGTTCGATACAGTCGTACGGCTCCTTGCATCACGCAGCCTTCCAGGCAGCGGTAACTTGAGACGTGGCACCTCTTTTCTTGCTCCATCCTCCTCAGGGGGCTACTGCTTGACGGAGATAATACCGGCCGAGGCGTTTGAGGCTTATATTAAAATGACCCCCCCCTCCCTAGAACCCCCCACGTGACATTACACTGCCAGAGAGGTCTCGGCACTTTAATAAAGTCTAGATGCCATTTATTTATAATGCATGGGAGACGGAGAGGGGGAAAGAAAAAAAAAACAAAAAACAAATGACATTGGGCATGCAGAGCCAGGCAAGTGCTATCTGGTTGAGTCTGAATGGAGTAAATTAATATGCCTGCATCATGACAATATCGCCTCCAGCTATCGCTCCCCGCCTCCCCCTAACCCCCCCCCCCCTCCCTCCCGCCAATAAAAATGTTAGTCGATATGTGTTGAGAGAGTTTTCGCAGGTAGATTTGGATCAGAAATGAACACTCGGCGCCACACTTAGGGATGTTCGATGAAGGGCACAACAGCAGGCAAAGCAAAGCGAAGCATCAAGCATTAATAGAGTGCTTTCTTTGTCTTTTTAAAAAAAAAAAAAAAAAACTTTTTAGTGTTAATAGTATTCTGATGCTGTTTACTTACTAACTGGACCAATGTTATTAGGAACACCTGCAAGAGAAGAAGAGAGAGAGAGGGAAATAAAACACACACAGCTTAAATGGTTGCATATCATTGGCTTAGCGGCAGGAAGAACAACAACTTAAAATCAAGAGAGAAAAAGCTGGAAAATCCTCCTCTAATCTTTACAACGTGATGAATCGTGTCCCCCTGAGTTAACGCACAGAATAGATGTAAAAGTCAGCAGTCTGTCTGGTGATCTGTACCAGTCCGGTTTTCCTCCTCCGATTTCCCCGTCAATGGCCAAAGTTCTTGTTGTCTAAGTTGAAAACTTAAACGCCTGGTTTCAGAGACTGAACCACGCTCCTCTGTGTCTCCATTTATTGTAATTGCAGCTGCAAGTTGTTGGCACGCCTACAGACCATTTGTTTTGCTCGTTCTTCTTTTACAGATAAGCTAGTTTCAGTCAGATTGGAAGGAAAACAGCTGGGGGTGATTTTAAAGTCTTGCCACAGATTCTGAGTTAGATTTAGGTCTGGGATTTGACTGGGCCACTCTCCATGACCTTATTTACGTGCGATTTTGATTGAGTCTCTTATTTTAATGGAAATGCCAAATTGCACAATATAGTTTTTATTTTGACATTAGTGGAATATTGACAAAGTTTTGCACACATTTGTAATGTTAAGACCCCACTGTGTGTTTCCTGCGAACGTTCTGGACGACCCGGGAGTTGATCGTTGTCTGGGAAGTTTTCTTTCAGGACTGCATCCGTCTTCCTTATAGCTTTCTCCACCCTGATGCAGAAAACCCATCCCCACAGCACGCTGGTGCCACCACCATGCTTAACAGTGGGGATGGTATTTTTAGTGCGAGTCTTCCACCAAACATTGTGTCTTGCTTGTTGGCTAAAAAGCTACATTTTAGTTTCATTCACCCCAAGCAACTCGTTCCACATCTTTGCAGTGTATTTTATGAGTTTTGGCAATTGGACTTCTAATGGCTTTCTTTAGTCCACTATCCCAAAAAATATATTTCATCAGAACACAGAGAAGCAGAAATTCAGCTTCTCTGCACCTCAAATCTGGAACAAACTTCCAGAAAACTACAAAACGGCTGAAACACTGAGTTCCTTTAACTCAAGCCTACAAACCCCCCTGTTTAGAGTCACATTTGACTCACAATCACTGGAACATTGACATATTTGATGCGTGTTGAAGATTTTGTTGTGTAACAAACAAAGCAAAATGTTTGTCACCGGTTACTGGTATGTTATCTACACGGCTTTTTATTTGTGTCTTCATGGTGTAAAGAACTTTGAACTGCCTTGTTGCTGAAATCTACTTTCAAAATAAATAAGGTTCGACTTGGAACGCTCTATTCAATAAAATCAAACTGCCACTCAATGTAATGAAATGCACTACAATTTATTCAGCCAGCAGTTTGCATTCCACATAAAGTCTGGATGCAAAACATTGAAAGTTTACGATTGTAACGTGACAAATTGTGATTCAGTCCAAAAAGGTATGAAGAGTTTCATAAGGCTCTACTACAAATACTGCTGTAAATATCAAACTGCAGCTTTGACAGCAGAGCAGGACGTGTCTCGTCCTGCCGGCCTGCCCGTCCGTCCCTCCATCGAGCAATCTCTTGAGCCGGGTGGCCACTGAGCAGATAATGCAGTCTGTCTCGTCCCCATGGCGACCAGATCTCCGCCGCACCAGGACGCCGGGCTGGCTGCGGATCCGAGGAGACCGAAGACGTTCGGTTTCTCGGTTTCATCTCGGCTCGGCTTGTAATTAGCGCCGCAAACGGCCGCGTTCGCAGTCGCGACAACGGAATTTCCTGTCAGGACATCAACGCCGGCCGGAGTTTTTCTAATCATCCCCTTCTGGATGGGAGCCCTGCCTCACATCCTCACATGTCCTTCCTCCCCTCAGAGAGACAGCGTGCCCAACCAAAAAAGACAAAAACAAAACAAACAAGCGCCCCTCCATAGCAAGAAGAAGCATGCTGGGCATTTGGAGACATGCTCGCATGTTTCTTTCAAGCTGGAGGAGACGAGATGAAACGCTCGGATCTCGTGTGTCTTCCTCACCTGAAGAGGAGGAGGTAAGGTGTGCGGGAATTTCAGCGTGGCCTTGTTTTTACGCGACGGAGACGAACAACACGTCCAAGCTCTGTAGGAGGACCGGGGGGGGGGAAGAGCGGTGAGGATTTTCACAAGCTGTTTGTGTACGCGGACTTTGATCCGGCTGCTGTCATTCAGTCGGTTCTTCCCTTGATCTGTGCCTGCCAGTTATGTTTAGACGCCAAATATGCGAACCGTCAGAGAGCTGTGAAGTGCAGGTGGCCACGTCGGCATACGGATCGCAAACCCTCCGGCGGTGGAGGGGTGGGCAGATGCTCAGGCGCGGACAGGAAGGACAGGGCAAGGGCAACCGCAATCGCGCACGCTGTGGCGCAGCGGAACGACGGGACAGCAGAGGAGCAGCAAAGAGCGCGCTTTCAGTTAACACAAGTGCATTGTGGTCCACGGGGTCCAGGAAGTCACTTTTGAGGAGACAGGGACATGATGCAAGGATGTGGATCTCATCACTTCCTGTATTACAACATTACAATACAGGATCACCCAAGTTGATTTACAGAAAGGGAAAAAATAGTGATAGTAGATAAAATATCATGCAGTGTTTACAAACATAAATAATATTACATCATTACAATAAGAATTAATACAGAATTTGAATTGCAGCTTTAGTCCACTGTCATACAGCCAGGCCTAAATACATGAGGATCTGCTGAAGGGTTAAATTTAAAGATGCAGTGCGTAAGTTTTAGAAGCAATATGTTTAAGCTGTCACTTTGTCACTATGACTGTACAATACGAAACAAGTGGGGAAAAATATGAGCTCCTTCATTTCCTCTCTGTGGTCCTACTGCCATCTGCAGAAATACTCTGATTGGTTTGTAACAACCAATCAGAGCCTAGATGGAGGAGGGTCTTATCAGTGTTAATCACCTTCGTGTACATGCTGCTCACACACTCCACCGTTTCACTCTGCTATGCTGTGGCCGGTTCACCACTAGAGAGCTAGCCAGGAATGCCGAGGCTAGTCAGCATGGCTACATTTGACAGCGGACAAACAGTTTCCACATTTATCTTCCACTCAACTTTCCAATATTGTGCTCAAATTCAGAACTTTATGAACATGTCCTTTCACAATGACATTTGTGGAGCATGTTGATAACTATCTGCTGCTCAACTTACAACAGTTTTACCTGTTATTGCATAGGCCAAAATATAACGTATCCTGCATTAACATTAAATATTTTATTTCATACATCTCTGAGAAACCCAAAATGAACAAAATTAAAGGCTTCAAATATTTGACTCTGTGAGAAATCAGTTTACATACTACATGCGCTTCAATTTTTTTTTATTAATTACTGAAGAAATTAACCTTTTGAGAAAATATACTCCAATTTAAGGTAAGACAGCAGTAAATGTTTGATTTTCCAAGTGCCTGTATTTTGATAGAGAACGTCACTTTTAAACAGAAATGGTTAAAAAGGGAAGTATAAACACACACACCAAATCATGAACACTATTTGAAAGTTTCATTTTAGCCAACTGGAGGATTCACGTTATTTTTTCACACTTAAATTAATTTCTGAAAGCAGAAATTTGTTTCTTACAGCAGAAAAGTAAGCAAGTAAAGCAGCTAAAATATTTACAAAGTAAACAATAAAGTGTCAGAACAGTCAAGGCTGCAGGATCTTTCATGTTTCTATGCTAAGTTTTGTTGCTCACCATCACCTGTCCTTCAGTCGCTTTTACTTTTTTTTTTTTTTTTGGAAATCGACTTCATGACCTGTGTTGCCATTCTGGGAAACCTAGATCTTTTTTTTTTTCTTTGCTGTGGCGATTTATTGTAAAAAAATAAATCAACAAGAATGAAAAAAAAAACTGTACTTACAAGGTTTTAAGCATCTGGTTGAGCAATAACACACTCAAAAAAAGCTATCTGCATCAAATTTGGAAGATTAGCAGGGGGCCGACTACATTAGGTGAAGGATAGAGAGGGAAAAAATTTGACTCTTGCTGGTTATTTCCCTGCATACTCTCATTAGTGCGCAATAAGAAACCGTTTAAGTTCACCGTCTGAGCAGAGAGGCTCCTCACAGCGACGATATTCTGCTTTCCTTGGTATCAGCCAACGCTCCATTTCCAGTCGCTAAGACGACAGGAGAAGAGCGCAGTGATAAAGCCGGCACTGTTGCTGCGTAACAAAGAACCGGCTAAACGTTTTAACATGTATGTCACACAGTAAACAGAGGTGATAATCTGCTTATGCTCCTGACGCGACGGAGTGTGCCGCCACACTGTTTCACCCACAGTCTTCTGTCGGAAAAAAACAAAAAAACAAAAACAAACGTGAAACCGTCCGCTCGACGACGAGCGAGCGAGCGACCGTACGGATCGACTCCTCAGGCTGCCGCTGAGTGAAGTTTGACCTTTCCTTCCAGGTCACGCTCCCGAGCACCAGTGGCCTGTCAGTGCAATTATCCGCTGCTTTATGAACAACCTGCGGGGCACGAGCGCATTCGCGGATCCCATGTCGGGGTCATTCGATTAATTTTCAATCACCGTCAATTTCAATCCTCTTCACCTGCCCGGCCGTGCCATTATGGGCCACGGCTGCAATCTAATTTGGTCCTATCGCGCAGGAAGAGCATTAAGGGCTGCTTATGTTGACGGTGCGCCCCATTGATTTCTTTTCTTTTTTTCTTTTTTTTTTGTGCATGCTGCGCAGAGATGCTGGGGAGGAAACAGGATCTCTGAGGTTTGTGCGAGTCACCTCGTGTGACGGGGTCAGCACATGCCACACATGGACACGAATACAAATGGAGGCGAGACAGTAAATAAACTACAGCCTGAGCAGAAAAAAGGCAACAAGCGAGTAGAAATAAGTCATAAAGGGGCGGTATTATGTGAAATCGTGTTATCATGTAATTCCTTCATCAAACACATACCTGGAGCGTTGCTTTGA